AATCAAGGCGGGCAGGCAACTAATCCAGTTCAAGTGCTGCCACCGACACGGCCAAAATGGCAAATTGCCGTCGCGCTGCTGGCGGTGCAAAAGGAGTTGCTGTTGCCAGTTGCAAGTTGCAACTTGGCGTTGGCGTTCCAGCTCTTGGCTCCTCTACACTCGGAAAAAATAAAAACACTTTAAAAAAATGCTTTTTATTTATAGATTTAGAAATCAACGTCACTTTATTTTAACTGAGTTCTACTTTTTAAAAAGGTAGTTAACATATTTTTTAAATATTTTAAAACGACTATAAATGTAAAAAAATTTCTAAAAGTTACTTAATTATTTTTAGTCTAAAATTAAATTTAAATAATCTTGATTAGATCTTGTAAATTTCTTGACCTGAAATAGGAAAGGGTTCCCAATTTCATTGTACTTTCACTGTACTTCTTTTATGCCTTCGCATTTACGAGCTAATTGCAATCGATCTACAAAAATCAATCTTATTTTAAGAACCCATTTTTATGGTGATTTCCTAAGATGTAGACCACGCTTTTTACGAGTGTAGGAGTTGCAATCGGTGGAGTCGTGCTGGGCAGCTTCCGCATGCCGACAAGTGACTCACAAGTCGGTCTCCAAAGAAGTTTGGCTTTGGTTTTGGCGCGTTTGTTTGCTCGTCGTTGGCTGTGTTTGTTGGCCTGGCCAACACTGCGACTGCGACCGCCACTCGGCACCGTTATGTTTGCAGATCGTGCGCTTTATTAATCTCGAGCCAGGCCAACAACTCCTTCAATTTGGCCGCTGAAGATGGTGCCGAAAGCCGAAAGTGCCACAAGGTCGATCGAACGCTAAGGCCAAGCTCGAAAATTTGCATGGGGTCGATGATTTGCATCTAACAAGCCAACAATTTAAGGCTCATTTCTACTGGTTACCATGGCACTATCACACTTTCTGTAATTGTCGCCTCGGAAATCACCGGACATTGAAAAATGCCCAACGCAATTGCAAGGTCGCACATTCCCAAAGGCCAACGTGGCAAATTGGCAGTACTTCGGGATAAAAGCCGCAACAATTTGGCCAGCAATTGGCCACAACTATGCAATAGAGTCGATAGGCACACGTGTTAGGGTCCAACATCAGCAACATCAACAGCAGCAACATCAGATTTATGACGATGACGTGCAGAACCAATAGAATAGGTCAGCACACTGGCAAAAATACTGCACGCAAAAACAAACTTGGTATGAAACGATTATCAATTTGATGTTTTCTAATATCAATTTTGACTTGATATGCTGGCACCTCATTTCGATATGCTCAAAATGTGTCTTTCTTCCTCCCTCGAATCGCCACATTGCTTCTTCCTCTCTTTTTCAAAGTCAAAGAATCTCCGTAAGAGAGATTTCGGTAAAACCAACATGCGTTGAAATTTACCATGCGCATATCAATTTGACGGTGACGGTAAAATTATATTCCTAAAATTGTTAAAAAAGTAAGGTAGCTAGTATTTTTTCCAGTGCTTAGAACAAAAGCAGCTTCAGTGAAATAGAAATAAAAGTAAAATAACAAAAAATGCAATTTGCAATTGCTGCTGCCGCTGGACCGTTAAATGTGTGGCACTGCGGCGATCGAAGAACACAAAACCAAATTAACGCCAAGAATCAGCAATTGCAGGAGCAACAGCAACATCCAACAGCAATTGCAATTGCAATTGCAATCGAAGAAGTGTAATGCGATAAGCTAGGTGGGATGGGGATTGCGATGTCGGATCCCCAGATGGACGCGTGAGGTTGGGGTCAAAACTGCGGCATTCTGACGGGGGACCTAGAATGGGGAATGGGAATGGGGATGGGGATCTCAGGATCAGATCGGATCGGGTTCGGTTTCGTAGCCAAAGTCTAAAGTCTGTGTGCTAAATGTCAATTTGATACCACGGCCAGCAGCACATCGAAGAATCCAATTAAATCGGTAGGCCGCACAGTTGCAGCAGTTGCAGCTTGCAGCTTGCAAATTGCAAATTGCCATCGATCTCTGGCTGGGATCTCTGGGATGCAGTCGAGAGATGTCGATGGGTCGTCGTTAGATGCGTGCGCCAAAGTGTATTTGTGGGTCATGGTACAAATCTCGCGGAGACACGGGACATGGGACACGACAGCCCGACACAAGATAGCTCTCTGACAAGAGACACCTTTTGATATGCTAACGAAGGCTTTTCTTTTTTCCCTCCAAAAAACCAAAAAAACACTCGTGCCCCGACTGTCAAAATGCTGCCCATGGTTAGCTTCGGATGGGAAATTTTCCCACCCTCCATTGAGAGGCCTTGTCTGCGCCTTGGTGAAATGTAAATTTTCCTTCGTTTCTTTGCCGCTGCCGAGTGCCACACATTTATATTAGAGCTCCGGCTGCAGCTGGGTTGCAATTTGTGGGGCGGAAAAAGGGGGAAAACGAGATGAGAAATGGGGAACGAGAACGAGAAGTCCACGCATGCGCAACTGCAACTGCCACTGCAACTTCCCAGCCTGTCCGCTGGCTACCCTTTGTGGCCATCTCGACCTGGCCTGGCCAACAAGAAGGAGGGGTTCTCTATGCAAATCTTCATGCATCAAGTCTTCTCCTGAAACTGAACCTGAATACATTTATCATAACGCACATGGCCAACATTCAGCCATTGTTGGTTCTGTTTCGGATGAAGATGCATTGCTCGCCTTGCCCTTGCCAGTATTTTCCGAAATAGAAAAAGAAAAAAATCTTGCAAATTTCCCATGACCGATATACGCCCCTGACCAAGTTGGCCAAGTTAACAAGCACCTGCCTCGTTTTGGGTAAAAGTTTCTATCTCCCGAGCTTAGCTTTTGGCCGCTTCATTCACAAATTGAATTTGTGTCACACACATGGCTTACAAACTCTTCGCCAGCTGGCTGGTTGGCTGGTGACCACCCCTTTATTTGGTCTTAACCCAAATACTGAAAAATGCAGCAGTGGTGGAAATGCGAAAGAATAAAAATTGTTTACCATTTAGCCACGGCGGAATAATTACAGCAACAAGTTGCTGTCGCTAGTTGCTCGTCTCCAGATGCTAGTTGCTAGTTGCTCGTTGCTTGCCAAGCAGCAACATGTTGCTCGTGTGTTGCTAATAGCTTTAGAACAAGTGCCATTTTGGCCGGCAACTAATAGCCAGTTTGTGTCGCTTCCGTTGTCAGTCAGTCGGGCTGCTCGGCATCAGCATCATCCCCATCATCATCATCATCATCATCATCTTTGGCATCGCGGCAGTGTGAGATTATCATTATTGTTATTGTCGCTCGTCATGTCAACTCGTCATCAACATGCCGCCTTTTCTACTCTTTGCTTCTCTGGCTGAAAAGCAGACGAGGATGCCAGTGTCTTGGGTTCGAAATACATCCAGTATACAGCATCCAGCATCCAGCATTGAATATCCAACATCCCAGCAATCTTTCAACCTGACCGAGGCGGCTTCGTGTGTGTTGCATGCCCCCTTGTTATTTTCGCTGTTGCCACGGCACGCAGCAATGCCCCATTCCCCTCCTGCCCCTCTTCTCTGAATTTTAATGAGCACAATTCGCGCATTTATGATGAGCCCCAGCCTGAGTCGAGCATTAGCCGATTTTTATTTGCCCGTTTCGTTAGCAATCCGCCGGGGGGAAACCGAAACCACTCGGATTTCAAGGGAATCGAGAGGAGGGAAGCTGGATAAGTAACCCCCACCGAAGAAAGAAGGGGAATCCAGATGATATAGGAGGTTTTAAAGTGATTTCTAATCTATTTTAAATTTAAGCCATATAATATAATAAATGAAAATATAAACCGCACTATGAAATCACCTAGTAAGCCCAAAGGTAGTAAAACTCCGAATATTATTCAGAAAATCCCTGTCTTAGTTTCCACACTCTCCCATTTCCGACACATTTCCCTTTTGTGGATTAGGTGGAAGTTTTATTGCTTTATGGAATGTATAAAATTGGATAACATACCCACCAGCCACGCCCCCTTAAGTAAGCACTCAGCACTTCCACCCCTCACCTTCGAAGGCAAAAAAAAATAAACCTTAGGGGTTGCTCCACCGATGGAATCACGTGTTGCATCTCCTGGGACTTGATTAAAGTAACATAAAGCAAATAAAAGCCGACAAGCGAACTGGGCTAATAAATGAAAAAATGAAGCGTATGTGTCTCGCCGGCCATTCGATGCCATTATAGGCACAATAAAAGGGCGACAATAAAATAAACCTATATATGGTATGGTACCTTAGTTGGGCCAGTTGTCAACCGATAAGCCGTGATATGTGGCTGTTGCTAATTATAACGATTTTTGGGCTGTGTGTGGGATCACCGGATGACCAGGGGGCGAAAAATCAAATCGAAGGAAGTCGGGGTTGTGTGTTGTTGTCCCATTTCAGGAAGTTTTCCTTGGCGTGCGCCTGACATTTTCAATCAGCTGGCGAAAAACTTGGCAGGATACTTTCGTGCTCATTCTGAGATACAGATATAAAAATCCAACGCTTTCTGACCTCTGAGGAGGAAGTTGCTGGAGGGTTGGGACAGCGGGCATGTCAGGGAAAATTGCACATCTGTCAAATCGGCAAACAAGTGATTTCCGCAAACAATTGAAGAAAAACAGCCAGTCAGTAAAGGACATTTTGAGGAGGGGTGCCATTTGTGCTAGTGGTGGTTTTGGTATTTGGTGTATGGTATTTCGTATTTGGTGGCTCACATGTCAACTCTCCCACCCTTGCCCCCTCAAAAAAATTTCTGCTGTTTGTGCACGTAAATTGCTTTTGTAAAGGCCATTGAAAATTTTCGAAAACCAACAGAAGAGAATGTGAAAAAATAAGGCGGCATGCGCCTTGTCATGCTTTTTTAATGAAGTGCCAGTCGTTTAAGGAACATATTGCCGCCCGATTTGATTGTTATTTAAGGGTTAAACGGGCTGGCTGTCCGCAAGAATGTGCCACTTCCATTATCCTTTTACTAAGCCTGGATATTCCTTTTCCATTGCAGTTACAACCACAAGATGACAAGAAGACGTTCGAGTCCGCCGGGACTCGAGGAGCTGCTGTATCTGGCACTCGTCCTGCTGGCCATGGTCCTGATACCCACACAAGCCGGTAAGTGCTTTATTATGTCAACATAAATTATTATTTAGCCCAGGAAGCTAAGTACTTAGTACTTAATACCTAGCCCATCTGTCCCTATCTATTTTGACTGCAAATATTGCCATAAATCCATGCATTTTCGGACTAATTAAAGCCATTGTGGCAAATTGCCATCAGCTGGCAACAGCTGCCGTTTTCACTTGTCCAGGGTCAGGGGTCACTTGGGTCACTCAACCACCCACCCAAAAAAGAAGATCTAAGCCCGAAAGTCTGTTGCATTTCGGGGCGCAAAATCTAATTAGGAACGGCTCATCTTCCACGAGGGTGTCCCAAATACAATTGTGTTTAATTGAAATCGACTGAGTGAGGAGTGTAGGGTGTAGAGTTCATAATTAAAAGCAAGTGCTAATGGCCGCGACCATCATTACCCATCTGCATCGACCTCACCTCATCTGGCCGAAAAGAACCCAGGGTCCGAAAATGTGTTAACTTTCACATTTACCCAGGGAACTAGAAGGCGATGCAACGGTGTCTTCCTTGGATGCTTGGGCGTGTTTAATTTAACGACTTGTTTAAACAGAACTTACAGTCAAATAAACCCAAAAAAATAAGAAAAGGGGGGAAAAATGGGGAGAAGAGAATAGAATAGAATATCGGTCAACGAATGCCAAACCCGAAACGTAGTTACTGCCACTCGAGGGTATACCCACCAATCATCCGGTCCATAACCGGAGAAGGCCCAAAGAGCCATTGTTTAATGGGCTCTGACTTCGACTTTGGCTATGGCTTTCAATAAACAGGCAACGGAGAACGAACTGACTGACTGACTGACTGATTTGGCCCAGTCAAAACGATAGGCGACAATAGTCAGCTCGTTGACCCACATTCGATGGGTACTATGTACTGGGTACTGGCACTCCATGGTCCACACTTCCATGATGCCTGCATTCAGAATTCTTGGAATTTTCATTAACACATGTCTGAGGTGCATATGGAAATGGATCTCTGACAAAGAGGGAAATAAAGTGGAAAAGAATTTTGTGTGCTGGCTTTTTTTTGTGAATGGAGCTGGAAAGAGGAAAGCTGCGGAGAACCCATGGTGTTCTAAGCATAGATTGCCCCGCCAGGGTTTCTCACCTACTTATTGATTATTACACACAGTCACAAATCGGTAACACTAACAAGCCGACGGGCCAACAAAACGGCCTAATGGACTCCGGCATTCTTTGGGTTTGATGAACCTCAGTGGAGGAGTAGAGGAAGTGTGTGTGTTTCCCAGCAGGGCCTGGTAATTGAATTGTTCCATTATAAATATGAGCATGACTCGACGAGATACAAGATACATTTTCTAGTTCCAACTCCGCCGCCGCTTGGACAGCTGCGAGCCATAAATCAATGGGACTAGCGCAAATGTCAGATGGTATAGTATAAGATATATGATATGTTGAGATATACGTACTTCACAACAAGTGGCATTTGCGTCATAACAATCGATCTGCCCATCGATCCATGCCAATTGTTTGCCCAGCCATCAAGTTAGATATCCAAATCGCTTTGAGTGGCAACTTATCTTGTGCAATTTCAATTTGGCCATCAGGTTCGGAGGAGCCTTAATTCAAGCTCAAGGTCGATAAAAATAACCCAGCGATCGACCATCTTCCCAACCGGTAGCCGCCACACATTATCATTATTTTATAAGCCACGAACGGCGAAGACGGCAATTTCAATTTGGCTCTGGCTTTTTTGCTTCTTTTTTTGCTTCTTTGCTCGATGGGGCGTTTTCATCAATCAACTTTGAACGTGAGTTCGTTTCTTGATTTTCTCATGCTTATTAAAGAATCTTTTTCGGGGGAGGGGGAAAAGAACACCTGCTCTTCTGATCTTCCAGATTCTTCTCCTTTCGACCAGCCAATTGACACCTACACCAATGCTATGCGAAATGGTCACTGAACCTTGGCCATCCACCAGCTTTCAGCTCTCCAACTCCAACTCTAAAAGCTATCCGATTTCGCCACTCAAATATATTTTATGTGGCCCGTTGCCAGCTTTTTGTGATTTCTTAATTTATAACCAATTACAAAGGCATTAGTGCGCCGCACGAAGATCTTCAATACTTTTGTTTATTGCGCATATAAATCGCCGCTTTACGGGGCCCCCGACTTTATAGCAGACTTTTGCGGAAGCATCTAACTTTTCAGAGAAGAAGGCCGAGCGATGATGTGCCTAATTAGCTTGTATTAGCCGGGGCCATCAGAACTTCTTATAGCTAGCTGGTTGGCTATCAGGGATCAGGTACCTGGTACACCATTATGGTTTCATATTAATTGCACGACGACCCGCTGATGTCATCAGCAGCAGCAGCATCGTCGTCATCATCATCAGGCCCTCGAGCATAAGCGTTAATCAAGATCCAGTCATCGGCTTAGCCACGCGCATATAATTAACATTTCTGCCACGGACCACAGGTTCAATGTCAAGTGGCCAGGCGGATTCATCCGGCTTATCGTACTTATCGTGCTGATAGCACCGTATAACTGTGGTGTATACCAACCCACAGCTCTTCCTATACTCCACCTCCTCGTAAATATTTCATATATGCAAACACCCCGACACCGGGGGCATCCACATCCATTCCATACATTGTCCAAGTCCAAGTTGTTTGCTGTTTGCTGGGCAAACAAAAACCGGCCAAAGTCGCTGACCATTGACCGATATGGCTATGATGGCGATGATGGCGATGCCGAAGATGTGTGTTGGCTGCGGCTGCGTGGCTGTGGAATTTCGTAGCCACTTAGAGAACAAGTACGCAAGCCGGAGATCACGAACTTGCGGGCCAACCCGCACGAACCCCAGAGAACGGGTCTGGGATTTGGGATATGGGATTTGGGATTTGGGATACCCAATAGTCAATACCCAATCCGCGATCTCAAGACTACCGAACGTGAGATTCGCCAATGGGGGGCGGAGAAACTTTCGACAGTGACACAATTAGAGGCCCCCGCCTATCTGAAGATTCCCCAACTTCAATTCCTGGCCATAAATAAGCATTTGTTTTTATGCTAAGCGGCCAGACGACTTTACTTTCCTTTCATTTCATTTCGCTTCGCACGGCCCACCAACGCAGTGAGAACCTCCCCCAGATGTCCAACTATTTGTCAAAATCGCTTTGGAGTGAAGCCAAATCTAAGCTGTGACGAATGGGGTACACTGAGAGAAAAATAGGTCTATAGCTATACAATTTTAAATTATTAAATATTCACGTGAAACTCTTAGAAAACGGATTAATTTTTGGGTATAAGAAAAAACATTTTAGTTTTTAAATCTCAAAATCCTTTATTAAACCATTTTTAAAGTATTAAATGGAACAACTCCTAAGAATTACCACATGTATCCTTAAAGTATATTTAAAATTCTACATTTTTCTGAAAATCTTACTTTATAGTATGGTGTAGTATGATGTTTTTATATCAAAATACCATCAAATGCATGGTTTTTCTCTTCGTGTGACTGCTAGTAGGTCTGTCTCCGAGTTGATATGATAAATTGACCATGGGCTCGAGACACTCATAAAAGACGCATTTGTTCGGCTTAAATGCCCGAACACAGAGCCACTTAGTTAGTGCTGATCCGACCCACGCAATTCCCGCATATTTATTCGAGGGGGCGAGGGCAATGACCAGGCCGCCAAAGGGTTCCAAAGAGTTCCACCGAGCTCCAAGTTCCGAGTTCCAAGTTGCTGCACTTGATTCTCCAATTAAATGGCCAGAAGCCAAGAAAGAGCAGCGTGTGAACCAGAATCGGAGGCGGAAACTTGAAGAAGGCAGTCAGAAGTCGGAAGAGTGGCAGGCAGTTCGCTCTTTCTGATTTTATCAGCATTAAATTCCCGACTTCCTGCGACAAGGTCGGGGGCTAATTTCATTTAAGTAAATAGGCTTGCGGCTTAACTGCCGGCAATTTGAAGTGTAACGGTAACGTGGCCACATACACATTCAGATTGAAATCCCCGAACCAAATGGAATTACAATTGCAATTACACAATTTGGCTATTAACGCCTCGGCTTCGGGAGTCTCTGAGTCTCTGAGACCCCTTCACCTTGACAATGAAATGGTTTCCAATGATTGCTGTAATTTTTGGGCCGGAGAAACCCACGATGGAATAGCTGGTTGGCAAAGGCAATGCAAATGCAAATGAATATCTTGCTGTTTAGTAGAGCAAAAAGCAAAAAAAGCCGGCTATATAATACGTAATACAATACCAGTCGAGATTTCTCAGGGCGATAGATACACCTCACGATACAGACACCTCGATCTCGATCTCTGTGGAGAGTCTACTATATGTTTAGCTGTGGATGTGGATGCCATAATCATGGCTCATATTATGTATGCTGTTTCTGCTGCTGCTCTAGCCATTTCCCTATTATTGTTTGATGTCATTGAACTTGAACTTGTTGTCGTGGACGCCGGTTAAAGCAAAAAAACAACAGACACCAGTTGGCTATTTCTGTTTTGGCCTTTTTATGCAATTTCTCGGCGTGAATATGCTAATTCGGATTTGTATAACACGTTGTCGGTCCAAAAACGTGTTCGAAATGTTAATTAAACGGCAAACACTGGGGGCTTTTATTCATATTTATGGCAATTAGCAGCCCCCTGACCCAATTTTGCCATTTTGTCTCTGCTAATTGCCGTTTATGACGGGAGCGGATCTCTCGTGGAACCGAGAACCGGACGGATTCGGATGGAATTGGTAGGAACTGAACCCTATGCATTCCCGGCTCCATTCTAAATGCATCTCGGCACTCAATTAGACATTCTGCCTGGCGCCAGCTGCTAATCGCCGTCTAAAATGGCCAGCACGCTAACAAGCTGAAAGACAAGACAATGATGGTTATGTAATGGAGACGTAGACGGACAGTTGGACATTTGACCAGCAGCAGTGCTAAAGTTTCGGTTCGCTGGATGCCCAGAAGCTACACTGAAAAAGGTGGTTCTATAAGAGAATTTGAGAATTT